TTCGGGACAGATATTACCACCCTCCCTTTACACATACGAAAACGAAGGCACAGAGTAATAGCTAAGAACTTATTTGCCCAAAGTCACAAGGCTAGTGAGCAGTAGACCAGGACTCAAACCCTAGTCTAGCTCCAAAGCCTAAACAGGTTGGCAACAGCTCCAGAGATGAGCCAACTCTAGGTCAGCAGGCATCTGAGGAGTACCAGACATGCTCAGGGCTTCATGGGAGCAGCACAGGCTGGAGACGTTTGTCTAGCAATGGCTCTGGAGTCAAACTGCCTGGGTTCAAATCCTACCTACATGCTTTCCCAGCTCTATGACTTTAGACAAGTCAATTAACCCCTCTCTGCCTCAGTTTTCTTATCTGCAAAATGGGATGATGATGGTACTAGTGCTTCTCTCATAGGGCTGTTACGAGGCTTAAATGAGAGAATGGATCAAAAGCACAGTCCCTGGCATACTGTAAGTCCTCTCTCTGGTGTAAGCTGTTATTGTGATAATTGTTCGACTTCAACTTGACAGAGGATGAGCCCCCTGAGACTGACGGAGGCGGAAGGCGACAGGGGGATTCCCGCTTCAGGTGTACATTCCCCAGCTAAGAAAATAAAGCAAAACCAGACAACAGAAAGACTTGTAAAGTTAGAACTTTAGCAAAAGACTGGAAAGAAGTTTAAGCATAATATAAGACCCTTAATTCCACCCCCTTCACCCTCAGCCCACACCCTTCCTGCTGAAAGAGCAAATGAAGCTTCCACAGAATGAGCAGCAGTGTGGGGGGATGAGGCAAGCGTTTGACTGGCTGCCAGATGAGCCAAGTTTAAGTACAAGTTGTAACTTTGAGTAAGTCACTTAATTTCTCTGAGCCTAAATTTCCACATCTGTAAAATGAGTCAGAGTGGATTTTTTTTGGGGGGGGGAGGGAGCTCTGCCCATCATCTCCCTCTCTTCTTCTGGGAACTGTTTCTCTCCCACACCCCAAGTATTGGACCTCCATTTTCTTATAGGACTCCACCTCCCTGGCCATAGTTGATTAGTTCAGGAGTCAGCACCTGACCAAACCTGGACCAGTCAGAAAGCTTGCTTGAGATTTTTGTTTTTGTTGTTGAGCTGGACCTGGGAAAATAGTCAACATCTCTGGGTAAAGCGTGTAGAATGGGGCTCAGGACCACTTGGCAGTCCTGGTTCTGCCACGTGAAGTTTAAGAGCTAACATGCAGTGAAAAGCAGAGGTAAGAGACAGATCATTCTGGTGGCATTTGGATCACGTGTCTTTGAGACCCGTGTATACTGCCTGGCCTGCAGTTAAATGAGACACTAAGGTTGATTCCAATCAAATTTCCTTTTTGCATAAGCTGGTTCGAGTTTGTTTTCTGTCAATTGCAAACCCCATACCCCTAACTAATACAGACTAGTTTATTTCTAAGATCCCTTTAGCTCTAAATGTCCATGCTTTTATACAAAAAAATAATAAATGAATGGTGTTCAAATAGGGCTATGTCTCATAACCTTGTTTAGGTGTATGGAGTAATCAAAGATTAAAAAAAAAGAAGAAACTTCATTTAACTCACAAGTGTAGAATAGGTTCAAGACTCTTTATAACCTTTTATTATACCTAAATGAAAGAAATAAATAGGTCAAAAGCTGGTGTTTTGGTAAACTGTGAGGAAATCAGCCATTAAATTATAAAACTTGGTTTCAAAACTGTTGATGTGATGACTTGGTTTTGAAATTGAATCCACTTTTTTCCTATGCCCAGTAGAACACAAGAGGGAAATTAGTAACTTTGGCGTGACGAAGACCAAGAATTTAGAAAGACTCCATCACAGTGTCGCTACTCTGAATTGCTTAGTTTCCCTACACTACCTAATTAACAATGAGTGAGGGAAGTCTTTTCTTTCTTTTGGTTTAAACAGCTATAGCTATCTAATTCTCCACTTCTGATTTCTACTCTAATCCATCCATCTATCTGTGTATTATTAAAAATAACTTATATTTAGCTTTCAACAGACTTTTTTTGGTTTCTTAGCATTTATGAATTTCAATATATAAAGCTTTGCAATTTTTCCCATGGTAAAATAACTCAGGAATATCTGGTAACAATAACTCTATTTTCTTTTAATGACCTCTCGTCAGTATTAAATTTGAAATGCAGGCATAATTTATATCTGTAACTGTGTTTTATTCTTCTCATTCTACTAGAGTTAATTCTTGATAACTAATGGTATGAGCGATGGTGCTTTCAGAGATAGTGTTAATTGGGGCTTCCCTGGTGGCGCAGTGGTTGGGGGTCCGCCTGTCGATGCAGGGGACGCGGGTTCGTGCCCCGGTCCGGGAGGATCCCACATGCCGCGGAGCGGCTGGGCCCGTGGGCCATGGCTGCTGGGCCTGCACGTCTGGAGCCTGTGCTCCACAGCGGGAGAGGCCACGACAGTGAGAGGCCCGCGTACCGCAAAAAAAAAACAAAAACAGAGATAGTGTTAATTGAAATCCAACCCTACAGAAAATTATGAGATCTCAATTTATGCTATTACTGTCATTTTAATCTCCCCAGAAAAAGTCTTAAACCAGCGCTTACATGTATAGAAGTAAAACTATTTTGGGTTTCACAGACTCTTTTAGGTCACCCTTTTTTAGTTGAAGACCTTATGAGATGTAAAATCATAGGTAAGTGAGAAGAAGTAAGAAGAGGTAGGGGAGGCTGGAGCTTGTTTAAGCCACTACTGAGATATTAATACACTTGAATAACAAAACATTGGTGATGTGGGATAGACCTGGAATATCAGTTGTGCTTAATGACTGGCTCTGACTCTCAAGATCATCATCTAGAGCCCAGCAGGAACCCAATTATCAAGATCACCCCTAGTGAGGGACTTCCCTGGTGGTCCAGCAGTTAAAACTCCACACTCCCAATGCAGGGAGCCTGGGGTTCGATCCCTGGTCAGGGAACTAGATCCTGCATGCCGCAACTAAATATCCTGCACACCACAAGGAAAGTCCCGCATGCCACAACTAAGACCCGGTGCAGCCAAATAAATAAATAAAGATTAGGATGACCCCTAGTGAAAGGTCAGAGCCATGAATATAAATACTTCTGTTTTATTGCCACTTAATAACCCTTGTGTAATCCTTCCCCTCGGGGTACTCCTAACCGGAGTCAGCTGACCTCAGCGATGTGGTGGGCAGTCTAACCCATACGCACCACAACCCTGTCATCGTCTTCTGTGTCCTTTTTTCTGTCCAGTGTTAGACTCCTGCTCAAACACCTCTTTGCTCTGCCCTCATCTCCGCCACATCTTGACCACGGAATATCCTGCCTCAGTTGACTATTTCTTTCCTTATGTCTTGGTACCACCTCATTAAAATTGAAGGCCATCAAGGGTCGATTTCCTAGGAGACAGTGGGTGGGTGGAGTCTGCAGGGAGCTCTCCTGGACACTTGGCTGATCTTGGCTTTTTTTTTTTTTTTTTTTTAATTTATTTATTTTTGGCTCTGTTGGGTCTTCATTTCTGTGCGAGGGCTTCCTCTAGTTGCAGCGAGTGGGGGCCACTCTTCATCGCAGTGCGCAGGCCTCTCACTGTCGCGGCCTCTCTTGCTGCGGAGCACAGGCTCCAGATGCGCAGGCTCAGTAGTTATGGCTCACGGGCCCAGTTGCTCCGCGGCATGTGGGATCTTCCCAGACCAGAGTTCGAACCCGTGTCCCCTGCATTGGCAGGCAGATTCTCAACCACTGCGCCACCAGGGAAGCCCTGATCTTGGCTTTTAATCTCCTTTCACTCTGATTATTGTGTGTGGCATATCTGTTGTGCCTGTTCTTTGTACAGTTCCTGCTTTGACCGGGGCCAATTTGGCTTACTTTAGTTCCCTTTATCCACCCTTTGCTACTTACACAGTTAGAAAGAAATACCCGGCTCTACCTAACAGTTAGAAATACACTCAATAGGAGATGTGCAACCACTGCCCACATGTACAGAGAGTTACACACCCTCACTTTATAGGTACATATTTAATAGAGGAACCCGTATGTGTCAACAGTGGCTCTCTTGCATTTGAGTCAAGCCAAGCATCAGAAGACCGATAGTCAATAGACCGGCACCATAATATGCAAGTGGTGAGCAGCAAACCCTGCACAGGTGGGTGAGTTCAGAATCACGAATAACATGTATTTTTGCTACAATGTAACATACAATCACCACAACAGTGTCAGTCAATGAATGTTGCAACTTGGTGTGGACACAACTTGTGTCTGCACAACTTGCTGGAAATACCTTAAATACTAACGAAGTTACATCTAGTGCTAGAATATGGATAGATGTATGTAGATGTATGGTCAGGGAAGTAAAGTGATGATAACCACCTACCAGGAACAGTAGATAATTTTGTAATTACTGTGAAACATTGTTTTGTAATCACTGTTCACGTCTTTAGCCTTGTTTTGAATCTTTTAATTTCTTCAAGTGCACAACCAAATATTCAGGAATTGAAAATACGTCATGAGCACAAAAACGACACTGAATTATTAGAACACCCGTGATGAAGAGGAGAGGGGAAAGTGGAAGGGGTTAGGCAGACATTAGTGCAGATCGGTTTTCTGCAATGGGGACAGACATGCACACGAAATCCCAGACCCAGCCGGGAAGCCTCCTAGCCTATGATGAGAATGAGGACTCTGTCTGAGAAATTACTTAATCATTCATTCATTTTAAGTTCCATCAATAAATGTTTACTGGGCACCTGTGATATGCCATCTATTGTGTCCTGGGAGGTGGAGATATGACAGCAGGCACACTGTCTCTGCTCTCAATGAGTTGTTATTTTAGTTGGAGAGAAGGACAAAAGCCAAGTAAATAGAAAATACTGACAAGTGCAGATGTGTTATGAAGACAGCTCACAAGGGGCTGAAATAGAGCATGGTGTGTTTGGGAGAAGAGACGCTTTTTAGAGAGAGTGATCTGGGAAGGCCTGAGGACGATAAGAACTTCTAATTTTAATTTCCCTCTTCAGTTCTTAGCAGCCAGCAAACAGCCTCCTTAGTTACCAGGGAGACTTCAGGGAGAGAAGCTCGGCCTGTTGCCCTGTATGAAGTAACCGCTTCGTAGATTTCAAATGAATGAAGAATGATATGGAATCACCACTGATTCAGTGGTATAGAAAAACTTAATGAGGAGCGCTCAAAGTATCTCAGAGAGGAAAGAAGGAAAGTCGATTACTTGAAATAACCAGGAGTGGGCAGCGTCAAAGAGATAAAGGAGGGGCTTTCAATGAGTATCACAAAGTGGAACATGTAGGGAATAAAGGGGATAGAAATTCAGCAGGTATTTACTGAGCATCTCCTACATGCCAGGCACTGTGGGAGAGCAGACATCAGTGATGAAGATTGAACCAGCCACCCAGCCTGCTGACAGGGGTCAGACCTGAGTACCAGAGAAGGCAGCTGGACACCTGAAGCCCAGATTGGGCACCCTGCACAGCCCAGTATTTGCCCAACTGAAAAACCCAGCACTAATTCGATAGCTAATATGGGACAGAGATGATGAGTGGGTTTTTGCTTTTAAAAGACTTACTTCAGGACTTCCCTGTTGACACAGTGGTTAAGAATCCACCTGCCAATGCAGGGGACATGGGTTCAAGCCTTGGTCTGGGAAGATCCCACATGCTGCGAAGCAACTAAGCCCGTACGCCACGACTACTGAGCCTGCACTCTAGAGCTTGCGAGCCACAACTACTGAAGCCTGTGCACCTAGATCCTGTGCTCTGCAACAAGAGAAGCCACTGCAATGAGAAGCCCACGCACCGCAACGAAGAGTAGCCCCTGCTCTCTGCAACTAGAGAAAGCCTGTGCGCAGCAACGAAGACCCAAGGCAGCCAAAAATAAACAATAAAAAATATATATATATAATTAATTAATGTTTTAAAAGACTTGTAAAAAAATTAAATAAATAAATAAAAATAAAAGACTTACTTCATTTTCCCTCCCCCATCCTCATCCCCCATAGTCCAGATTTTGTGATGGATCAGACTCTTGGCAGAGAAGAAAAAAATTTAAAAATCCATTCAATGCTCAACCTCTGGGCCCTTAGATTTTATTTTTCCTTTAATACCAGCAAGTTTCTTGCCCCTGTAGGGATACAGTCTAGCAGGGGAGATCAACAGGTATCAAGACATCACATGGAGAGATAAAGGCAAGTTTATTCTGATCTAATATGAACAGTGGCTATCTCAGAGAGCTGGGGTTTGGGTGATTTTTATTGTCTCCTTTGTCCTTTTATGTAATGTTCAAAATTGTTGCAATGAACACATATTGTTTATATTATCATGAAAAAAGTTACATTTAATATTTTTTAAAAGGAAAAACATACAAATAAATGCTATATTATAACTGTGAGGAGAATCAGAAAAAAGAAGTTCATGGTGCTTGGGAAGGAATCACAGGAAAGGGACCTGCTCAGATGAGTCTGAGAAGGCTTCCTGGAAGAGAAGCTCCTGTGCAAGTAAGAACTTGGAAAGAGGAGAAAATGAAATGGTAAAACCACATACAACAGGTGCAGGCAAAGATATGCTTAAAGCAGGGGTTCTGAATCTGGAGGCCTGAGGGTAAAAGTCAGGGGCTCAATGAACACGAATGGGAAAAATTTAACATATCTCTTTTTCCTAACGTATAATTGAAATTTAGCGTTCCATTCCATTTTGAATGCAAACAACAAACACAGTAATATCAGCAGTACCTATGATTTTGTCAGCAGTAAAAATCTCAGATATTTTCAAACCATATAAAAGCCGTTGCATATGTCTTGGAGTACCTTTAACACTTAATTGTCTTTTCAAAATTACTGTAGCTATTAAACTCACCATTAGATCATGTTAATTAATATTTTAATGAAGAAGTGTACATTACTATATCACAATTTATATGTTGCTATGTGTATTTGGTTTCTTTTGTAATCCCATTCATTTTATTTTATGCATTTAAAAACATTATTCCAAAAAGGGATCCAGGAAAGGGGTCCTGTAGGCTTTACTAGATAGTCAAGGAGGTCCATGGCACAAAAATGGTTAAACATCTCTGCCTGAAAGAGAAGGAATGGCCCCCCGGTCTGATTATATTTTGTATAGAAAGTCACAATCAGTGTGAGAATTGATGAACCAATAAGAAGCTTAGAAATGAGAAAAATAACATCTCTTTTCCAGCTCACAAAGCCAAAGAGTTGATTTGAGGACACAGGCCACCAGGACTGATACCAGCCATGAAGAGTATCCAGGTAATTCCTCTTGCTCAGCCTTCCTGTTTGCCAAGCAACCTGCTGGTTTTCATGTGGCTTCCTAAGCAGGTTTGCTCATAGGGAGAGAAATCCAATCAGCAAACGTGAGACTACAGAGACTATGGTCAGCTTGTGAGGGATTCAGAGTTCTTCTTTCTTTCTTTCTTTCCTTTTTTTTTTTTAAGCCGTGCCTCACGACTTGCAGGATCTCAGTCCCCCGGCCAGGGATCGAACCTGGACTCCTGCAGTGAGAGCGCAGAGTCCTAACCACTGGACCACCAAGAAATTCCCCGGATTTCTTGTTTCAAATTCAAGTTGAACAACACCAAATGGTGGTGAGGGTGTGGAGCAACAGGAACTCTCATTCATTTCTCGTGGGAATGCAAAACAGTACAGCTGTTTTGGAAAACAGTTTGACAGTTTCTTATGAAGCTAAGACTATTTTTACCATATGATCCAGCAATGTTGCTATTTGCCCAAATGAACTGAAAACTTATGTCCACACAAAAACTTGCACAGGAATATTTACAGCAACTTTATTCATAATTGCCTAAACTTGGAAGCAACCAAGATATCCTTTAGTAGGTGAATGGATTAAAAAAAATTGTGTTATATCCAGATAAGGAATATTATCTGGTGCTAAAAAGATATGAGCATTCAGGGCTTCCCTGGTGGCCCAGTGGTTGAGAGTCCGCCTGCCGATGCAGGGGACATGGGTTCGTGCCCCGGTCCGGGAGGATCCCACGTGCCGTGGAGCAGCTGGGCCCGTGAGCCATGGCCGCTGGGCCTGCGCGTCCGGAGCCTGTGCTCCGCAATGGGAGAGGCCACAACAGTGAGAGGCCTGTGTACCGCAAAAAAAAAAGATATGAGCATTCAAGCCATGGAAAGACATGGAGGAACCTTAAATGCATATTATGAAGAAGCCAATGAAAGAAGCCAACCCGAAAAAGCTAACAGTGTGTGACTTCAACTCTATCACATTCTAGTAAAAGCAAAACTATGGAGACAATAAAAACATCAGTGGCTGCCAGGGATTGTGGGAGGGAGGGATGAATAGGTGCAACACAGAGGATTTTTAGGGCAGTGAAACTACTCCGTATGATACTATACTATATGATATTATATGACATTCTATATAATACATGTCATTACATATTTGTAAAAACCTGTAGAATGTACAACACCAAGAGTGAACCCTAAGGTAAACTATGGACTACTTTGAGTGATTATGATGTGTCAATACGGATTCATAGATTGTGACAAATGTATCACTCTGGTGGAGGATTTTGATATAAGGGAGGCAGCATGTATGTGGACACAGAGGATATATGGGGACATTCTGTACCTTCTACTCAGTTTTGCTGCGAATCTAAAACTGCTCTAAAAATCATCTAGTTTTTAAAAATTCAAATTGAAATGTTTACATCAGTCATTGTGAGTTGGGCTAATGTGAGTCTGCTGCTGAGAGATGGAGTCCCCTCTAGTGTGCCAGGAGGGTCAGCCCATCTTCCTGGACTGAAATAAATGGACCCAGGTTGTTCTCCCAACCTCAAATGCTCTTTTCTTTTCCAGAGAATTGCTTCTCATCTGTTAAGGCCCAGGCATGGTGTAATGTCCTTCTGTTTCCCTCCTTAGCATTGCTAAAGGGCTCCTTCTACACTCCCCTTGTGATTAGCAGAGGTTGGTGCCCCGCTCTGGTGTGGCACACATAACCTGGTGCTGCAGGTCACTGCTGTTGTGTGTCTCTCACTGGACTGTGAGTTCCTCAAGGGCAAAGGTCACCTCTTTATCATTTTTCAATCTCCCCAGCATCGGGTACATTAAAGCTGTCTAGAAAAGTGACAGTATCGGACCTGTGTTTTGAGGCAATTCCACTGGCAGCGATGTGGAGGAAGGCTTGGGGAGTGAGAGGTGAGGGACAAGGAGACTCTTCCAAGGTGCTTGGCAACATTCCCACTGAAGGACGAGGAGGTTCTGCAAGAAGTCAGTAGCAGAGAGAATGGCAAAAAGGGAATGGAGGTAGAATCATTAAACTTGAGCGATGGGTTAGATGGTGGGGAAGAGGGGAAGGAGGACTGGAAATCTGGAAACCTCTAGAGCCTCCTTACTGGTCTTTTGGCATTAGTCCTTGCTCTCCTAAGAACTATACAGGCTGTTTTCAACAGAGTGGCGAGTTGATTAAAAAATTCGAATTATTTTCTGCTTCCACTCAAAATCTTCCAGTTCTTTCCTGGTGATCCTTACGTAGTTCTCACAATGGTCTATGAGGTCCTACTTGCTCCTACCCCACCCCTTGCCTCCTTTCCTACTGGAATCCAGTTCCCACTGCCCTCTCCCTTGCATCCTCTTCTCCAGCTGCATGTCGCACGCTCCCATCCCAGTTTCTTTGCACGCTCCATTCCCTCCACCTGGAACCCTTCCCCCAGCTAGTGCCCTTGCTTCCTTTGGGTCTTTACCCAATTGACATCTCTTCACTGAGGCCTTTCCAGGCCACACTGTTTAAAAGTGCAAAACCATCAATTCCGAGGCCTCTTCCCCCTTTACATTGTTCTTTTCCCTCGTACTGTCTAACATGCTATGTATTACAGTTATTTTTCTGTTGGCCCTGTTAGACTATAAGCTCCATGAGGGCAGGGATTTTTGTCTGTTTTGCTTACTGCTCTATCCCAGGGCTAAGAACAGGCCTTATCCAGCACAGAGTTGAACAAATGCTCAATAAACAGTAGTGGATTGACTGACTGGATTTCCATGACTTGAGTCATAAGCTCCTTGGACATAAGCTCCTTGGAGAAGGCCATAAGCTCCTTGGACGTAAGGATTCTTTCATGACCCATGTAGCACCTAGCAGGTTTTGGGCATGTGGCAGATGACCAAGTGGACCCTGGGGAGGGAGTTGTCCTAGACTTGACCCCCTAGGGCTCCTTTTATCTCCTATTCACCACCAACTTGCTGACCTGCTTACACCCTGCCAGAAATACAGTCTGGATGGATGACAAGCTGGGGTCCTGTGAAGAATGAGCACATAAAACGCAGTTCAGCAAAGACACCACTCCTGGGTAGCTAGCTACACAGGCAGTACTGAAGAGTAGTCATGTACGGGGTCAGGATCATACTAGATTTCCCACTTTATGAAGTGAAGCAGATAAAGTCTACCTTGTTGAGATGCTGTAAGGATCAGGCACGATGAATGTGACACATCCATGGCAGTGCTTGTACCCAGCACGTGCCCAGTAAATGAGGGCTATTAGATGATGAAATGGGGTCAGTACTCCCCACCATCCAGTGCAGCGACAATGTTGATGGTAATGAATACATGACTCATTA